TTTTTATTATTTATTTCAACTCTTTGATACCTGTTTTTGAGGTATGATTTGATCCATTCATTAGCTTTGCCAGTTATTCCATAGAAATTTAATTTCGATAGTAAGATATCATGATTAACACAATCGAAAGCTTTTGCTAGATCACAGAAAATCCCTCCCACAATTAATCTGTCATTGAGAGCACTTAAAATATCATTAGTTAGTTCATAGGTTGCTTTTTCTGTTGTTAGGTCTTTCCTAAATCCAAATTGCTCTTTGACTAATATGTTGTTAGAATTTAAGTGTTCAAGTAGTCTATTATACATAACTTTTTCAAAGACTTTTGAGAATGAAGTCAATATGGATATTGGTCTGTAATTAGAGATGCATTTTCTCTCTCCTTTTTTAAAAAGTGGTTTCATTATAGCGTATTAATATCATTAATATCATGTTAATTCCCTCACAAAGGTTCCTCACCCATTCTAATTTAAGTTGGTAGGTACATACTAATTACAGTTATTTTTTTGCAGGCAGTACCTCAAGCAGTATCTTTATACACTGCTGGTAACTGATATCAAATTCTGCCAAACTGAAAATGTTGAGCAGCATTTATGGAAGATTTTATTTTACAATATTATTGAACTCCTGCGCAAGAGCATTGCTGAAAATGTGGAGAATAAGGAACAGTATAAACAGACAATGCTTTCACTTATAGAGCAGGTACAGAACATTGCACCTTTTATGTTAAAGGGGATAATTCTGAATTATATATTTAACCACTCAAGCCTGTGAAGCCTGAAATTCATTTAAATATTTAAAAATTCAGCTCCTGCCTCAAAGGAAACTCTCTGTCTCCATTACAGAGACCAGGTGGCGCATGCTGTTTGAGGAAATAATTGCTCTTTACTCTGATAACTATACAAAAGAAATAAATACACTCTATGTGCAAAATGGCAAATTTTTGAATGGTAAAGAAGGCAGTATGTATAGGAACTCTTTGTTTTAATATTTTGTAGCTGGTGTCATTAGATATTGCTTTCTCCTGTGCTGGAGGGTTGAAAGTGGCACAGAAAATGTTGCACAAAATATAGAGTGACATTGATGATGTATATATTACAAAATAAACTCAGACTGTATAATCAAGAGCATGACAGACTATGCTTAGAACAGTATGGCACACCTTTATTCATTGACTGAGGGAGGGAATATACTGACCGAGGGGTAGTACTGTATGCTGTGCTTGACTCTTGGTGTCACTATTTCACATTGCTGCTGAACAATCAAACTACCAGCTTCGAGCTGTTGAACTGTGAAAGTTTGTGTCAGTATTGCAATTACAGTAAAACTTGGTTATAGCAACATCGGTTTCTGCGACACCTTGTCTATTGCGTCAAATATTCAGTGGTATGAACTAATTCCTCATAAAGCAACTGTTTTTATACCTTGCTTAGTACGACATGCACAAATGCATCAACCTCGTGTGTAACGTCATTTTCATTCCTTAATTTCTCTGATATCATGGGAAAGTTCGATGTGTCTGCCCACCCTCACTTTCTCTACTTGGTGATGTGACTGTCCTGGAAGAATACGACCGCGGGCTTCAATAGGAGCATGGGTTTTATGCGAAAACAAGGGTGTGGGGTGGGACTGCGTGAATAGTGCAAGAGGACGCGGCAGGTTGTTAACTGCATTCCTTTCCTAGAATCTCGTCTAACAGGACCTCACATTGTCTACTTACCCTATAGTGTTCCTGCCTAAACCCAGAGAAGTGCAGTAGCGAAAACATGGCAATGAAAAGGAAAGTTTTAAGCATTGAAGAGAAAGTTAAAGTGATTCGTGAAATAGAAAATGGAAGGAAAAAAGCTGATGTATGCCGCGAATTTGGTTTGGTGAATTCTACAGTACAAACGATATGGAGAAATAAAACAAAAATTATTGATGCATTTGAACAAAATGGGTCGAGAATAAAGCGATTGCGTAAGCCTGAACGGAGTGATGTCGATGAAGCGCTGCTTAAATGGTTTAAGCAGCAAAGAAGTGATAACGTACCAGTTAGTGGCCCTCTTCTTATGGTGAAAGCTGAAGAATTCGCAAAAAAGTTAAAGGATGAAGAATTCGTGTGTAGTGCTGGATGGATTGATAGGTTCAAGTTGCGTCACAACATTACGTTCGGTAAAGTGAGTGGTGAAGCCAGGGGTGTAAATACCGAAACTACAACTGAATGGCTTACTGCCGTGTGGCCCAGTATACGTAAAGGATATGCAGACAAGGATGTCTTTAATGCCGATGAGACCGGCATTTTCTTTCGATTGACACCTGACAGGACACTGAAATTTAAGGGAGAGAAGTGTGTTGGCGGCAAGTTGTCGAAAGAGCGGATTACAGCTCTTGTTTGTGCTAATGCGACTGGAAGCGAGAAGAGGAAATTGCTTGTGATTGGAAAGTCAAAAAATCCTAGATGTTTTAAAAATGTGGAAAACCTACCAGTGCGCTACAGTGCTAACAAAAAATCGTGGATGACTTCTAGTTTGTTCGAAGCTGAACTCAGGTCTTGGGACCGGGAACTTCAAACAAGGAAAAGAAAGATCATCTTGCTTGTAGACAACTGTCCAGCGCACCCTGTACTTCAAAATCTAGAGAAGATTAAACTTGTGTTTATACCTGCAAACACTACAAGCGTATTGCAACCCATGGATCAGGGAGTCATAAGGAACCTGAAATGTCACTACCGCAAACTGATATTGTTAAGAATTGTAGAGAGCATCGAGAAGAAGCAAGATTACACAGTTACACTGCTGGACGCAATAGGATTCATTGAAAAAGCATGGAGACGAGTAACTACAAAAACAATTCAGAACTGCTTCCGGCATGCGGGAATCTTATCAACTCAGGGATTGAATGGCACTGAGAATGAGGATGGCGCCAGTAATGACGATGATTTACCTTTAACAGAATGGTTGCGTAAAGTCAATTGTGATGAACTAGGTCAGTACGACTATGAGGCATATGCAACAATAGACGATGACATTGTTACAACGGAGGCACAAACAGACGACAATATTGTATCGGAAGTGAAGAAGGATACAGAGGAGGAAGATGAGGAGGGAGGAGAAGAATGTTCCGAAGTCTCCATCCCTACTGTGAGTGACGTGCTTGAAGCCATTAGGGTTGTGAACTTGTTTAATGAATTCAGGGGAGGCAGCAGTGAAATTGTGACAAAAATTATGGACATTGAACGTAATTTAGAAAGTGTGTATTGGGCAAGTAACAGGAAACAGATGAAGATAACTGATTACTGTACTCGTATCTAGGTACAGTAAGGCACAACAATTGATGTAATCTACTGTAATTTGGTGAGTAGGCCTACCTTTAATATACAGTATTAGTGCAGTGTGTATTGTCAGTGAAAAGTGCTGTAATATGTCTTTGATATTACACATTTGGGCAATTCCACGTTAATGTTACGTTAGTCTGTACTTAACTACGTATTTCACTAAAAAATGCAACATTTTAACATGGTTTTTGGTAGATTTTTACGTGACTAACATAAGGCTACTGTGAAGTGCCCATTTCGGTTACGACATTCGTTTATAACGACACTATTTTTATGTCCCTTTGATGACGTTATAACCAAGTTCTACTGTATTTTTTTTAGTGTAGATTTTTAAAGTTACGCTGCTAAGAGCTGTTGAACTATGAAAGTTTATGTCAGTCTTGCAGTTAGTTTTTTTTTACTATAAATTTTTAAAGTTACGCTGCTATGTGTAGGATGGTTATTTTTTTTAGAGAGGCAAGCAGTTTGGTACATTTACTGCAGTGAGATATGAAGGTTTAAAGAGAAATATCAGCCTGGAAAGGGTTGACAGATTCACTGCTCATTATTGTAGACTCTCAGTAGTTACAGTATCATTAAATAACGAATTAAAAAAATGTACTCGTTTCGAGAGGACTGACTTTGTAAGATGACCTCTTCAGAAGGTACACTTAAGGAGCATGCATTAGTAGCTGCCACAGTTGGACTGATCACCCTTGGTTTCCAGAGAAATACAGTTCACTGCACAATATACTCCTCATAGTCTGTCACAGTGTAGGCTGTTCCCATGCCATATAATGACTACATTGGTTTGGGATTCTTGCACTAAGACCACCATAGCCAAAGAAATTCTTCTTGTTTTGGTACAGAATTTGTCAGTAGATGGCGTCACTTTAGTAAACAGTCTATAATTGTGATTACATTTTAGGGAACATCCTACTTTGAAAACCTTCTGGAAGTGCTGGAGCAAACATACAAATTTAAATTGGAAACATTTATTACTCCAAATAATGTGTCAACAAAAGGCCTTGGATTTGCTGGTTTGGCATTGGTTTCTGCGCAGAAGATACTCCTGTTCCTTGGGGATCTGGCAAGATACAAGGAGCAGGTCAATGAAACATCAAATTTTGGGCAGTCTCGTCAATATTATATCAAAGCCCATCAAATTAATCCGAAGAATGGTCGCCCATACAATCAGTTGGCAATATTGGCTGTGTATGCAGTAAGTAAATCTACTTTGTTATTGGTCTAGTGAAATGTGTGAGGTAGGAATGAATGAATGAATCAATCAATAAATGTATGTATAAAGGGTGGGCCTTCTCGGCCCTTGCACTGCGACCACAGTGATCTATTGTGCTTCCCCTTCTGATTATCCCCTCAGCAATCCTGCACTTCATTCGAAGCACAGGATTTTGTACGTGGGGGCGTTTAAGTAGTCACTTGGTTCCATAAAGTATTGACCCAAGTGACATAATCTTAAATAAGCTAAGACCTTACATTCACACAGGATATGTGTGGCTGTGTCATTTTCTTCTTGACACCTCTCACAAGTGGGACTGTTACTTAGTTCCAGTTTGAAGAGGTGTCCTTTAAGGTGACAGTGTCCTGTAATTAGTCCCATCACCCATTCTAGCTGGTTCCTGTTTAACTTCAACATTTCCTTTGCTCTTTTGGCAGAGGGTCCTCGTATGAGTCCCTTTGCTTGCCTGAGTCCAGTCCCCAGTATTTCTTGTGCTTCATATTTATCCAGTCCCTGATTGCCTTCCTGGCAACTCCTATAGAGATGCCACAGGCTGGTTCAGGTCCTATGAATGGATGCTCAGCTCCAGTCTTAACCACTTGATCTGCTGTTTTGTTTTCAGCAGTACCCTCATTCCCTGGCACCCATATCAGTTTGTACCCTGTTATGTTTGGCCAGTTCCATGAGTGTTTGGTGGCAGTCCCAGACCAATTTTGAGTTGATCTGGTGTTTGTTAAGCACTTTAAGTGCAGACTGACTGTCAGATAGAATGTAGATCCTATTTCTGTAGTTCCTATCTAAATTCTCCACAATACATGCCTTAATGGCATGTATTATTCCTGGAATACTGTCGTGTACTGCCCAAGGCTGAAACTAAGTTTCCACCTTGTGCCATAGCAGAACACACCAGCTCCAGTGCTCTCATTTATCTTGGAACCATCTGTATACCAGATCAGTCCCCCTTTTCTATCGGACCGAAACCCGTCTTCCCATTCACTCCTGTCAGGAAATCTGACTGTGACGGGTTTTTCATATACATGCCTCAGTATCATTTTGTCACACCCCATTTGCAATATGGGTCCTGAGTTATGTATGCATGGCCGAAACCATCGGATCTAGGTCTCCATTGATCACTGCACTGGAGACGGTAGATTCTTGCCCTGGCCTCTGCCTCCAACTGCAGATGCAGTGGGGGGAGTCCAAGGAGTGTCTCCAGTGCAGCTGTTGGAGATGTTCACATTGCTCCTGTGATACCCAAGCAAGCCAACCTTTGCAATCTGCTAAGTTCTGCCTTGCTTGTCTTGAGTTTAACTCTGGGCCACCATACTGTGGTGCCATATGTAATTATGGGTCTTACAACTGCAGTGTATATCCAGTGAACAACGTGCGGCTGCAGTCCCCAAGTTTTACTAAACATTCTTTTGCATGTCCAGAAAGCATTATAGCTTTTTTGATGACCTTGTCCAGCTGTTTTTTCCATGTTAGTCCCTTGTTTAATACTAGAACAAGGTACTTGATACTGCTGGAGAGCTGGATTGTTTTATTGAAGAGGGTCGGTTCCTTAAGGCCCTTTATATTTCTCTTCCTGTTAAATGGTATAATTACCATCTTATTAGATGGAAAGACTTGTTCTTTCACACCATTGTTGGTATGTGTACAGAGCTGTTAGAAGACACTATGATACTGTTGAAAGTAATTTTCCATTTATGAGGATTGCTACATCATCAGCACATCCTACCGTATAATACTCATCATCAAGTCCCTACAGGGGATTGTCGACGACCAGGGTCCACAGCAGAGGTGAGAGAACCTCCTTTGCGGACACCCCCTAGACGCAGACGCCCCAAGGGTTTCTCCTGATAATGCAGCAGTTATGGTTCTGCTTTCCAGCATAGCACTGATCCATCTGCATATTGCAGGCTCTATGCCATGCTCTCCAGCGGCCTGTTTGATTATATCAATTGAGGTTCTTTTGAAAGCTCCCTTTGTATCAAGGAATGCTCCTAAGGCAATATCCTTGTATTCAATTGTAATTTCTATGTGTGTTACCACATTATGTAGTGCGCTTTTGGTAGATTTACCTGTTTGGGAGGCATGCTGGTTTCAGTGTAGAGGATATGTCCTCAATGCCCTGTCCCTGATATGCCTATCCACTATTTTCTCCATCGTTTTCAAAAGGAAAGATGACAGGCTGATAGGACGATAAGCCTTAGCCTTGTTGTAATCAAATTTCCCAGGCTTTGGAATAAACGTCACCTTAACTTGCCTCCAGGCTGTGGGGCTAAAACCATATGCCATGCAGGCTCTATATATGCGGTATAGGTGTGGAACTAAGAGTTCTGCCCCATACTGCAAAAGTGCTGGTACAATTCCATCTGTTCCCGCTGACTTAAATGGTCTAAAGGTATTCAGTGCCCATCTGATTTTTGATTGGTTAATTATGACTTTGGCCAGGTTCTAGTCTGTTCTGTTCATCCTGCTTTGGCAAGTGCCCAGGTTTTGCTGACCCTGTCCATTGTCAAAATTATCAATCAATTTTGAATCAGGAAAGTGAACCCCGGATAATTCGTTTAGTGTCTCCCTTCCTGTTTGAGTATAATGTCCGTTAGGCAGCTTAATTGTGCTGACCTTATTTGTTGCCTGTTTTGCCATGATCCTCATGGGTATGGCACCGCCTGGTACATCACTGATCTCCTGGCAGTGCCTCCTCCATGAGGATCGCAATGCTTTCCTTATTTCTTTGTTGTAACAGGTAAGGGCTTCCTTGAAGGTGTCCCACTGCCTTGTTCTTTTAGCTGTATTAAACAGCCTTCTCGTTTTGGTTCTAAGCCCACTCAGCTGTTTATTCTACCAAGGCACTCTCCTTGGTTTGTGAGTGGTCCTAGCTGGACAATTCCTATTAAAGGACGAGATAATAGCCCATTGCCACTGGTTAGCGGACTGATCAACATCCTTTATTGTGCGTAGCTTTCACGAGATGGTCTCCAGATTTACCTTTAGGTCATATTTGTAAGACTCCCAATTGGTTCTCTTAGGATTCCTCTAAGTAGCTTGATCTACTGTAATGTTGCTTATTTGAAAGCATATATATCTGTGATCCGACAAGGACGGCTCATCAGATACATGCCAATTACTGATCAGGTTTCCTATTTGATTGGTCCCTAGTGTCAAGTTGATAACCTCCTGCCTATTGCAAACCACAAAGGAAGGCTTGTTACCTTGGTTTAGAATATTAAGGTTCGAACTCACCAAATATTCCATGAGGCATTCTTCTCTTGGGTTGATGTCTGTGCTCCCCCACAATGTGTGGTGTGCGCTGGCGTCACACCTAATGATGAGCTGCTTTTTCCTAAGATGGCAATATTCAGCAATGTCCCTCACTTCTTTGGAAGGTGGTGGTTCATCCGAGTCATATGGAAGGTAGGCTGAAGTGACGATGAGCTCCTCACAGCCTCCGCCCAATGTGTATGTCATCCTCCCTGTTGTGTATCTCTGGAACAAAACTCAAGCAAGGGTAAAGCATTAATATTGATTATTAACGTATATGCATGATCTCACATTTTCTCCAGGTATGACAGAATAAACTGTTCCCCCTGAATTCGTTAAGCCTCTTATTTGGCCCCTATATATCCAAGGTTCCTGAATAAGTGCTACATCTGCTTTTCCCCCAGAAAGTTGTTGACATAAAATTGCCGTAGCAGCCTTGCTATGGTGTAGGTTAATTTGAATGAATCGTATGTTGTGTGTATATGTCGTGTGTTGTGTGTTCATTCTGTAATGCTGGGAGAGGTGTCCTCCTCCATACCTTCTTCCACAGCCCCTTTTCTTTTATCAGTCCCGGTTTTCTTCAAGGGAGGTCCCTGATCTGGTTAGATTGGGTTGACGAGAGGAGGGATTGTCTCCTTATCAGATACTCTCTTCCAGTCAACTTAGGGAGTGGGTACATAATTCCCCTCCCCCTCAGAGGCCGATTCCGAGGGTATTGAACTGGGTACAGCAACTTCTTTATGCTGCTGAGCCTCAGGATCTTGCAGGGCCCTAACAGCTCCCTGTGAGAGTCCTGTGTATACCCTATATTCAGTTCCCTTAATAACAGATAGGGAATCCTGGTCTATAAGGAGGAGCAGTCTCTGCCCTTTTGGTTCAGATTTCCTATCCAGTATCCTCCAACTCTCAGTATGGAGTCCTGGATTAAGATTCCCAATCCATTTCAGCAGCTCCGCAGGATTTTTGGCAAGTTTGTTCTTTGTCCTGAGAGCCACCTTCACAGGTTTGGGCTGGTTCTTGGCGCCAGTAATCTTCAGCCTAGCTCCTGATTTTAATCTGTGATTATCTATGGTTCTAATGAGCCACTGTCCAGACTGTTGGTTGGAACATGTATATATTAATGCACCTCCCTCCAGTCTGTATGATTTCAGGTGTGGTAGTTCTCCCAAAGGAGTCCTACGTAATGCCTGTCCCAGTTCCTCCAGAATGAAGTCCTGGTCTCCCTCTGCTAGCTTATCTTCAGGATACGTTTCCTTGAAGATAGCTACCTTTATATTGGTCAGAGCGTCCTTGTAAGTTCGTGGGCCTTTTCGGAGCTCTGGACATTTCTGTAGGGGTACTGTCCTCTGACCTTGTCCTCTTAAAGGTCGTGTTGGAGGTTTCTCCCTGCTTGGGTGAGTCTGCATTTCCTGGTTGCTGACTGCCCCCAGTTCCTGCTTTGCTTGCCCCAGCTCTTGCCATTGTTAATTTCCATCTAGTGCATCCAGACAAGGCCTTCTTCGCTAGACGGTGTCCACCTACTCTAGAGACTAGATCTCCCAGTCTTGCTGCAGGTGTGCTAGAAGTACTAGCCCCTTGCAGTGGTATGTCAGTACTGCTGATTCCCAAGAGAGGAGTTTTTGGTTTTACCTCAGGTAGGTTTTGAACCACTGGTTCGTCCTTGCCTTTGACTGAAAGTTCAACAGCAGGTTCGCTGGTTGCAGCTGGGTCTCTTAGTGTTTCACCAGAGCTTCCAGCCCCCTGCTGAAGCATTTCTCATAGGGATCCCCTTGGAAAGGGGTCCCTCTTCAGTTTAAGGTCCTTACGACCAGTTTTTAGTTTGGTTCCTTTCATTTTGGTCTCACGAGTCATGGGGATTTAAGAGGTCGCCATCCGCAGAGCCCCATACAGTTGGAAGGCATAAATACAACAGGGTGCTGTTTGGTGCCCTGAGTGGATTGTTCAAGACACTGGCAAATTACCACCCCAGTGCCATGCAGCCCTCAGCACGATGCCTCACACCTTGGCTTAGGTGGTCTGGTCCTGTTGTGAATGAAATCCTCACAAGCCTCCAGGACCAAGAGTGCGTGTTTGGGGGGAGAGGGGTATCCCAGATGATTAATGGGAGTGCGACACCAGTTAGTCATGAGGTTGCGACCAGGACAACCTGCATGAGAGAGTCGCCCTTGGGGGTGGCCTATGAGCTCCCCCAGTCCCACCCCTCCACATGGGTTGGTCAAACCGTTTTAGAGTGTTGAGCCCTAAGGCTTGTGGCACCTTATCGGTACTCTAGGGAGACAACTCAAATAGCCAAAGCTACCCCCGTGGGAGTGCTCTCCTGCATTTGTCCTGGGTATGACATAGTGATACCCAAGAGTCATTATGCCGCCACGTGGAAGGCTCTGGTCATAATGCCATTGCCCTTTATGGGAACTTGGCCGCCAGCTCTGGAAGGTCATACTGATCCAGATCCCGAGGCTGTCGTTGCCCAGCGGGACCTTGAGGTGGTGTCCCAACGCATTCCTCGTACATGATGCGTCCCCACCAAAGACACAGCCATGGTTCAGCCAACCTCATTGAGGATGGCGTCGTTACCACATGCAACATGTAACCTGAGAAAGTCACAATTACCCTGCCCATGAGGCACGATAGTTCAGTCAGTGTAGTGACTGCGTACAGACTGGATATTTGGGATTCAGTTTCTGACAGGGACAGGAATTTTTGTCTTTGGTACCACATCCAGACTGGCTCTTGGGCTCAGTCGCATATAGAGTGGGTACAATTTCACCTGCTGTAGAGGTTAAAAACATGTGGCATCACTGTCTGATGGTACTGAATGTGGATTGTAGCTCCCATGCTTTATCTGCCCGTGGTGTGGGCTGCCTCTACAGCCGTTTCCCCACTATTCACCGCCATCTGTCTTAAGTCCTCACTTACACAGTATTCCTCCTTTCCTCCATCTGCTATATAGCATGATGCTCATTTAAACACAAGGACGGTTTTAATCTTTAAAAGAAGTTCTGAGAAGAACTAATTGCTGGTGATCCTTTGATACAACATTGATTGCATAGAAAACTAAATAAAAGGGGGTGGGGGACAGACACACAGATGACCAATTGGCTAAAAGTGATAAGGGGGGGGGGACACAGACAGCAAGGCAATTTCACGAGCCTCAAAAATTAGGCAGAGCGGTTTACACAGACAGATGGAGGCACACAGATGGATACTCAGACAGGCAGCAAGGTGATCTCATAAGCCTTTTATTTTTCGAAATAAGGAAAGCAGGCTAATAATCATATGTATGGGAAATTAGTCCCACTACATTGATGAGCAAATTGGTTCAGGTATAACAGCTCTGACTTATGTTTGGGAAGTGCCCAGGTTGAATATCTGCCTCGATATTGACTACCCTGACTGAGGATTTCTATGGCTGTTCTCGGTTTTTCCAGGCAAAGCCAGGGTAGTACCTTAAAGTCAGGCCATGGCTGCTTCCTACCATGTCCTTTCAAATTAGTTACGCACTGTCTTCTAATCATTTGACATTACGAGTATATAGTCTGTTAGTGGTAGCATTGTTAAATGATCTACACAGAAACTGAAATACATGGTACATTCATAGACTAATGGTCTCTCTCTTGATATATCCACTTTACCTTCCCTGGTTGCTTGATATGTAAAAGTAAAAGTAAAGTAAAGTAACGTAAAGTAACATCAAGGTATCCCTGTAACAGGCCGTGGAGGCCCATAGGGTTGTGTTCCCACATTTTCTCTAGACAGTCGGCTCATAGATGGTGGCAAGGTTGTCAGCCCTACGTGCCGACTGCCCTTTACCCCCAAGAATATTCCAAGAACATTCCTGGTACTCATTTCTGTTGGAGGCTGAGTTGACCCCAGGGCCATAGTGTGGCTGGAAGAATTAGGTCAATTGAAAAAATCCAGTGACCTTATTGGGACTTGAACCCATGACCTTCCAGCTTGTAGCATAGTGCCTCAACCAACTACGCTACCGCGTGCCCGTGCTTAATATGTTAAGATTAAAAATTTATGATTCTAGTCCTAAGCTTACCCTTAACTTTTCATTACATTGTCCTTCTTTATTTCCAGAGAAGAAAACTGGATGCAGTCTATTATTATATGAGAAGTTTAATGGCATCTAACCCATTTCAGTCAGCTCGAGAAAGCCTCCTCTCACTGTTTGATGAGAGCAGGAAGAAAGTAAGTAATGTTTGAACTGCTTCATTCACATATGAAATGCAGTTTATGCAAGTTAAGGTAGAAAGTACAGGAACCCCTTGAATGACACAAATATCTTACTTTACAACCATCAGATGTCAGTGATTTAAGCCAAGAAAATTCAGCTGGATTGTAAAGATATTTAATTTCATAAATAGCATTCAATTTTTTTTTTTTTTGCAAAATTTTAGAGTCCAGGTTAAGAAATGAAGATGTTGTCTAATTGAATCAGATAATTAGAGATAAGTAACCTACCCATTGATGATGCTCTTGTTTGATGTTCAATTGTAGACTCACAAACTTCTTAATTTTCCTGTTGTGATGGTGTTGCATTGTACTGGCCATGGTAGTTTAGTAGTAAATTAAGTTAAATATATTACAGTATGAACAGGCTGAAAGAAAGCGTCGTGAAGAACGTGATGTAAAACATTGTGAACGAATGAAGGAGAAAGAAGGGGCTGGGAAAGAATCTGGAGGTAATGGGTTGAGAAGAGTGTACTGGGTACATCCAGAAGGTAGACGGCCTCGACTCCACATCACGACATCCACCATGCAAGATCAGCGGAGGACTGACAGTGAGGAGGAGGAGCTTGCAACACTCAGCAGTATTGAGGTTTGTTTATAATAATTCATAATTACACTTGATACAAGCTGAAACATTCTCTGTGTCTCTTTTGGATTTGATGCACGTTTTCCGATGAACATGATAGCTGTGAAATTGCTGCATGTTGGAAGGGGTGTACTGGAACTCCAAAGCTGATCACTACCATTTATTCAAGCATTATTGGTATTTGAGGTTTGAGATTTCACACATCTGTCCAGTGATTAATATTAATACAGATGTCATGTAAATATTGCAGAATCTGAATTCTAAAACTCTCTGTTCACAGGTGAACAAGAGATTCGTAACAAGCTACCTACATGTCCATGGCAAATTATTTACTAAAATTGGGTGAGTGTTACCTTTGTGCTTTCTCATATAAGTACAGTCAACTCTTGATTATCCAGGGGTGGATAAACCGGTTTGCTGCTTAACCGGGCCTACTGGGGCTTTTTTGAGGCTTATATGTTGTTTAATATTCATTCACTTTTGTATCACATGGTGAGTTGTAACACTATTTTTCCACTAGTGTGAACCGAGCTCTGCATTTTTTGGTCCCGCTATGCTAACACAATGTTCTAGGGTAGGGGTGAAAGAATGCAAGGATTTGTGGAAAGTTTCAAGGACAGATACACCACCCCAGTTGGTCTCTTTTTATCGATCTTCAAGTGCATTAGCAAAATGTCAGGGTGTAAAAGGAAGCGTGTTGTGTTAAGTATTCAACAGAAACTCGTGTGAGCCGGGCTTCAAAATGTTAAGCAGTGATGAAACCGTAAGTTCAGTGGGGGTGCAGCCAGAAGAGTGGGAAGAAAGTGAGAATGAGGAAGAGGTGGACAGTGCTGCTAGTAAGAAAATATCATATGGTGCTGCTCTTAATCATTTGGAATCCTTACTAGACTATCTTGAGAGTGAAGAGAACAGTTTATTAAGTGACAAGCTAATATTACGTAGGCTTTGTACGGATATCCGTAAAAAGGAAAATGCACATGTCACATGCACAGGGGCATTGTCATGGTGGAGAATCCACTTAATAGGCCAGAGTTCAGCTCTTTTCCTCTGAACAGATTCCCATAACCTTGTCAGCACTTCCAAATAACACTGTTGAATCATTGTTTGACCTTGTACAGTGATTTCATAGTGAACTATCACCTTGTTATTGAAGAAACACTTCTTGGGTCATCTGCACATCTTCTCACCCTTCCTTCAGCCACCTATGTCCTTCAAAAACACTGTTTCTTCATAGCATATTCACCATAAGCCATTGTTAATAGGGCAAATGTTTTACTAGCACAGATCCACATTTTCTTGACCTCGTCACTAGCTAGAGGTGAGTGGTCAGCTTCACATCCCTGCCGCTTTACCCCTGGGGAAAGAGTCCCCAGTACCCATTGAATAGGAAGTTGGGTGGCCCCCAGAGCTGGTCTGGATGACGTGGAGAAGAGAAATTTCTTGACCCTACTGGGGCTCGAACTCCTACCCCTCAATTGTCCAACCCATAGCCAGTCACTATACCAACTGTGCTACACTGGCTCCTTATACAGGGTGCAAATAAATATATGTTACAAAGCTCTGCGGTAGATAGATGGCTTCAATCTGATGATATTTCATTAATGCACCCATGTCAGGAAACGCTTTGTTTATGCACTAGGGTCTCTGAAATGTGAAGGAGGACATCCTTGCCTTTTACCTCTGTGGCTTACTCGTGATATTTACCTCACATTTCTCCAAGAGACCTTACCTGAGCTGCTGGAAGTTGTACCTTTGGAAGTCTGTTGTGAAATGTGGTTCCAGCATGATGGCACCCCGGCACACTGCATTAATATTGTCTGAAGTATTTGGATGAAACCTTTGGCAACAGCTGGATAGGATATGGAGGCCCAGTAACCTGGCCCCTCGGTCTCCAGACTTGACTCCACTGGATGCCTGGTATACGAGACTCCAGTGGAGACACAACCTGATCATGTGGCAAGAATTGCAGTAGCAGCTGGAACTATCCGGGAAATGTAGGGAATTTTTGAAAGAGTTCAGCATAACATAGCCAGGCGGTGCAGAACATGCAATGCAGTTGGTGGCCGCCATTTTGAGCAGCTTTTAATGTAAAACAATAACATCCCCTAAAACTTGTGCATCCTCTCAGAAACTTTTGTGGCCCTTAGTGCCAAAAGGAAGCGTTTCTGGACACGGGTATTAATAAATATGATCAGATTGAACCCTTCTATCTACCACAGGCATTGTAACGTATATTTATTTACAATCTGTATATGTATATGAAGGCGCTGTGATGGTAAAAATGATATCAATATTTTGATATATTTACACATTTTGAAACCCCCTGAATGTGAGAGATTTTTGAAATATTGTCTCTCTCTGTGGATATATCTCATGCTAACATGTGAATAGGTGGATGGATTTCATTCATATGCAGTGTTTTTATCCATCATGGGTTGGTACTTGGTAAATATGAACATTCTTGCTCCAAATATGGCCCTCAGATGGGCCCCCAAGAAACCAAGTAATGATATTCCCAGAAGTGGCTGTAACAATTTTGGTTAAATTTCAGTAATTTTTGGAGACTGTTGCTGTAAATACTTGTAAAATTACATAGTCAGTGTCTTTAGGAAAATAATTGTATGCATACTAGGAACTCAGACACAGAATGTAAATATTATTGAAACTGAAGAAAGCAGTCTTCTGGGATTTGGCACCGTGTATGTGTGGTGTTAACACCACATATACACGGTGCCAAATCCCAGAAGACTGCTTTCTTCATAGTCACCGCCGTGAAAGCCTCAAATCTTACATTATTGAAACTGGCTTTACCAGTGAGTGGATTATTTTACTGTTGTTCAGGATTCAGTAACCAGCAATGCTCTACCAAGTTACAGTTGATTCCATTTCCAAAGTAGTGTAATCAAGGTCAGTCCTGTATGAGAAAGTATGTACATTGACTCCTCACCGATTTTCACAGCGAGCTGGAATAACACAGGCTGTATAGCAATGGGCTACAGCCTGGATGGTCAGGATATGATTCCTGGCAGGGGCAAGAGATTTTGCTCTACTCCACAGTGTCCAGCCTGGCTCTGAGGCCAACCCAGCCTCCTGTCTTATGGGTACCAAGGGGCTCTTTTCTTGGTCTAAAGTGGCCGGGTGATGAAGCTAACCACCCACCTCCATCTAGTGCTGAGGTCAAGAGTGATGGAGCTATACCTCCACTCCCCCTGTAGCTTGATGGTCTTGTGCTCATTTAAGTACAAGAATAACTATACTTTTTACCATTATTTCTGTTATTCATATATTCCATTCAAAAGAACCCACTAATAAAAGTAGTAGTTCAATTAATAAATAATTAAACTATTCAATGTCAGTCAAGTTTTTAAATTTATGAAATATTTTTCAGATTTTTTAGTTGTAGTTGGGACAAGAGTTGTGTGTCAATAGGTGACAGTCATTATGTACATTGAAGCAGAGAATTGTATGCGGTGGTAATTTTAATGTGCATACATAATATTTATTACTCTTGAGTATATTTTTACTCACTGTATTTAATCTGATAATGTTGGTGCATTTTCATATATGTTACAGAATGGAGACATTTCAGGAAGCAGCTCTGCAGATGCTGCGAGAGTTCCGAACACTGCTACAGCATTCCCCAGTTCCTCTTAATGCAAATCGTTTTCTCCAGCTTCTAGCCCTCAATATGTTTGCCATTGAAAACACACAGCTTAAGGGTAAGTGATATGACATTTGTGCTTTATGAAACTTTAGGTTCTCACAGTAGTGAATCTTAAGATTACAGCCTTCAGGGATGTGACATCATACGTTTTTGTAGATAGGTATGATTACTTCAGAGGAACCAGTTGCCTTCATCTTTATGTCAGGTTCCTCTGAGGTGTTTCAACCTAAATGCCAAACTACATGGTGTCATGTTGCACAAAACTGCAGTCTTCTTATTATTTATTTTGTTGGTTCATGATCCATATACTTGTAATTGTCATCGGCATGCACATTTACAAATTCGACTTTACAGAGATGTTCCCATGCACTTCTCTCTTTCCCCCTCCCTCTGCATTTTTATTTTGTATTTTTGTTACATTTTGTTTTTCCAAACTTCTTCATTTTATGGTCCATCATGGTCTTAGTCTCTACATACATGTAGACTTGTTTCACTTATGTCTTTTTCTAAAACTTCCTCAGGTATTCTGTAATTTTTAGCATATTTAATGTGATCAGCCACAGTGATCTTGTTTTCAAGCACTACTTTCAAAAAGCTTTACCTCAGTCACCTCTTGTGCTGTCTCATTCCGTATTTTAACTCTCCATGTTATTCCATTTGGGCTTGTGGTTTATTCCATATTTCAGATATACCGTTCCTTGAAATTGTGGTTTTCTGCGTTGTGACACTATATAGTCTTGTAGGCAGATACCTGTCTTTCAGAGGAACATATGCCCTCCGTATTCAGGGTTGAATATATCAGTACTACGATGTGCTATCAGAAAGTTCCTGGAATGTAGTTGTTGTAACTCCTTCAGTGAAAGAAGATGAGAGGGTAGGACAAGGTCACACTTCCACAAGCCTATTGCTTCAGTCTGCCATGTGACACTACACTGTGAACACACATTGTTTCTTCTGCTTCATGTTTTGTCTTGTCTGTGATAGATGGCAAAATTGAGCAACGTGTCTGCATCATGTCTTGTGTGAAGCTTGGTAAATTCTCCACTGAAGCCCTTGAAATGCTTAGTGAGGCTTTTGGAGAACATTCTTTAACCTGAACAGCAGGTCGGTCAAGTGTCAGCTGAAGATGACAAACGTTCAGGGCAGCCAAGCATGAGCAAAATGACAGAAAATGTTGAAGAATTCAAGAACTCATTCATGAAGATGATCACTGAACAATGCATGAGTTTGCAGCCATTGTTGGGATCAGTTACGGAGTTTGCCAGGAGATCTTAACAGGAAATTTGAATATGCACAGTACTGCTGTGCAGTTTGTTCCCCAACTCTTGACAAATGACCAAAAGCAGTGGTGCTTAAACATGTGTCTTGAGCTAGGAGCGAAGGCAAACAGGGACCCAACTTTTATCTGTAGGATCATAATGGGTGACGAAAGTTGGATTTACAGTTATGATCCAGAAACAAAGCCGCAGTTGTCACCGTGGAGGAGCCCACAGTCACCAAGAGCAAAAAAGGCATGGCAGGTCTGGAGTTCAACAAAGAGCATGCTCATTGTTTTTTCGACATGAAGGGGATTCTCCGTGAATTTGTTCCTCTTAACACTATGGTCAACACTGACTTTTACTGTGACATTGTAAGATGCTTGAGAGAGGATGTGCGACAAAAGGGCTGGAGCTTTGGTGCAACCACAACTGGCTCCATCATGACAATGCACCTGCCCACACATCCCTGAAAACCACAGAGTTTGTGACTAACAACAACATGGTTGTTGTTTCCCATCCTCCCTACTTGCCGGACTTAGCCCCCTGTGAGTTTGCTGTGTCCCCCCCCTCCAAGTTGAAAATGAAACTGAAGGCATGATTTTTGAAACAGCGTCTGGCAGCCAAAGGGAATCGCAAGTGGTACTCGACAGCATTAAGGAAAATGACTTCTGTGGTACTTTTGAAGTGTGGAAAAAATGATGGTATCACTGTATACATTCCCAAGGAGACTATTTTGAAGGAAATGGCAGCCAAAATTGAGTAAGTTAAGCCAGTATTTCTTTTTTGATGCAGTCGCGGATCTTTCTGATAGCAGGTCGTGCCTCTGAAATATTTGTATCTGCATGTGAGACTACTCGGTGTCCCAACCCCGTAAGACTAGAATATGAATACTGACTATCTCAATATTATACCATCTGCCACTCCTGCTTGTTTCTGTTACCTCAGCTTACATCCTGCATAACTGAACTAACCCATCTGATTTGTTTCATCAGTTCACTAGTTCTGTTAGTTTTTACTGCCATGTTCTTCCCCATTCTCTTTCTCAAGTATCAGTGCTGCAAATCATTGCAATGAAATGAAAATCATCTAGAAGTGGAAGGTTGCACATGGTTTCTTACTGCATAGAACTTGCTGTAGGAAGGAGAATAAGGTAGCTTCACAAATGAAGGGACTCGCATGTTCATTCATCAGTAATCTCTCGGACAACAGGTACACAGTCTCTTCCCAAACAGTTCCTCCACTTAATGCGATCTCAAGCTTTCTCCTTCAAATAAAAATATCCTCTTCTGTCCCCAAAGTCATCCAGCATCTTCTTATGTCTTCTTCCTCATCTTCTGGTCACTTCTATCTGCCCCTCCGGTTTGTTTTGTCTCCAGAGAAGACATCTCGCATACATGGTATATCTGTTTCTGGAAGGAGACTATCCAGGAAAAGTGATAATGTGGTAGTTTTTCCATTTGCTTTCCACATCGCAGTACAACAGCCATTCAAACCACTCTGGTCACGCCTGTTGCTATATGAACTTGAACCATCTTGAGCATCATTTGTTCTGTGCTTCAAGTCTCTGCTGATGACGCTGCTTCCGGCATCAGTTTTTGGTTTTTGGTGTTTCTCTTTGTCTGATGCCTACCCTTTGACCTGTCCAGCAAGGGAGGCCCTGCCAGTAGCTACGCTACTGCTGGTATAGCTCTCAGGGTCCTTGGCATACTCAGACCCCCTCACCATGATAAGGTGGAGACACCAACGAGGGGGACTCACATGTAAATAAAAGAAATCATCATATTTTCTGAAAAACACCATTTGCTTAAACTGCACTTCCTGTTTTTTTAAGAAATAGAGGTTTATAGATTTCATATGAATTTATTGAAGTCTTAGGGTATACATATTGATTCTTGTTGTGCATAATGCACAGTGTCTTGAAATTTGATTGTAGCATCTGTTCTTCTTCTTCTTCTTTTTTTTCTTTCCACAACAACCATGTACTCCTTGTGATTCGATATCTTGCAACAGGAACTATTCAGAATCTGCCTCCTCTAATAAAACATAAAAGTATGTGAGACCAAGGCAGAATTATTGTTAGAGTTGATGTTCTGATGGTGGTGACTATCAATACAGTCTTCTGGCTTGTAATGCTATGTGGTTTGGAGAGAACCTGGCATTCTAGAGGAACATATCGCTCCCATCTTCAGGATCAAGATAAGTCACGTTCACTGTGCCACCTGCTTCTGTTGGTTTCTTGCTTGAATTACTTTTTAATGATCTGTTCTACCAAGATATTGGTCTCCCTCCAAACCACATGACATTACAGTCCAACAGCTACATTCTCCACTGCTTTCATTGTTGTTGTCAGTATATGTCATGAGGTCAACCGGTAGGCTGCGGATATTAAATGCCTGACTGGCCGTGTAGTATGACTGTGAAGTGATGAAAATGACCAGGAGATCAAGTGCCACAGTACTGATGTGAGTTGTGTCATACATGTCATAACATAGACTGATCAGTTATGTTCTGATATCTGGCATTTTTATTGGTTTGAATACATCATGTATCTATTGTATCTATCTATCTATGTATCTATCATGTATCTGTTGCACTGAGTAAAACCTTAACATTGTTTAAGAGGAGCAGATAGTTTATATTGTGGTTTACTATCTAGAAGCCAGAATATCTGAGCAGGTGTCCATTGCTAGACAACGGCTTGTTAAAACACATGGCCGGATAACAAGCGCGAATAGACCGTTGCTGAGCAGTACTCAGTATAGACTGCCTGAAAGTGGGAAGTGCACAAGCAGAAAGCACAACAGAGAAGTCGTTGCTAGACAACGGCTTAGTATTTACAAGGGTAAATCGAAAAGTCTTTGCCCCTATTTTTTTCAGCCACAATAATACACATACAGGGAAATCAAAATACAGGCCATGTTTTAAGTACCTCTGACTATTTTTCTACATAGTCACTACCCCAGTTCAGGCATTTGTCCCATCGCACCACTAGTTTGGAGATTCCGCTGTTGTAGAATTCGGCCGGTTGACTGCGGAACCACTGCCAGGCAGCGGTTTTCACGTCATCGTCTGAAATAAAATTTGTTAAGAGGCTGTGTTGATCCCAGGGCCATGGTGCAGTTGAAAGGATTAGAGCAATTGAAAAATCCAGTGATCTCATTGGGAATTGAACCTGTGACCTTCTGGCTTGTAGTGTACTACTAAATGGAAACTGAAAGAAAATTCAGAACATCCATCCTCTAAGAGAGGTAGAGTCACAGACTGGACACATCCATTTCTAGCTGATATCAAGGTGCTGCTTGGTTGTGGTATAAAGATGGGCCTATATTACCGATCACCCCTCAAGTGTGGGTGAACAAAATGTCATTCTTTTTGGGTGTGTTCCGAAGGGGTGAGTTTTTGGAACTTGAATTTAGCATGTGTAAGGGCCTAATAAAACCAGTCCTGGGAGAAAGCCAGCCAAAGTGCAAGCATCATTACTCATCCTGTACCACTGTAGGTGTTGCCAGAAGCACAGTCTCATTCCAGGCGAGTGCATCTATCAAAGCATATAGACCTATGACACCAGTAAAGTTTGGATTATAAATGCCTGTGCTCTCCGATAATGGTAATAATTCTATGTATAACTTTAAGCCATCTCGGGTAATGCTTGCTACCATTCAGTCCAGAACCTTTTGTCTTCTCGTCTGCTGTTCAAAAACTTAAAACTTAGAATATACAAAACCATAATTTTGCCTGTGGTTCTGTATGGGTGTGAAACTTGGTCTCTGACATTAAGGGAGGTACATAGACTGAG